TTGTCCAGCATTATCTTTGCTCTGGGGGGAGAGGATTTGCTGAGATCTGCACTTAGCCATTCCAGAAGTCCTGCCCATTTGCACGAATGAGTTTTTATAGGCAAAAGCAAACAGTCTATGCTGCAACATTTCATGGAAGGATCTGAGCTCAAGAGAAACGAAGTGCTTTATCCAAGGTCCCACAGCAAGTCCATGGCAGAGCTAGGACCTGAAGGGCTCCACCACCACCCTCCCACCCCCAACCAAACCAACTCTCTTCTTCTGCCCTAAAGTGAAAACTCAGTGGCAGCCAAGCACCCACTAGAGGGCTCCCCAAACCAGGATTCTCACCCAGAAAGCAGAATTACATTGTAGTTTTAAATCTGAACTTCATTTTCTTTTGCCACATGCCTAGGGAAAAAGATGTAGATGTACCCCTCCTGAAACCTGGAGCTGGTAGTACATTGAAGAGGGTGAGAGCTGAGGGTTGGGAGGACAGCATGTGGACGATGGCACAGACCACAATATACTATTGTAAGCTTCTTATACTGTATATAAAGTGGTGTAAAATCACTTGAGAGCAGACTGTAGTAAGTCCAAAATTTATAATATAAAAACTAAAACAGGAACTAAAATTATAAAATACAAAAAGTTATAGCCAATAAGCCACAAATGAAATGAAACAGAATCATAAGAAATACTCAGTTTAAAAGAATCCATAAAAAAAGAGGAGAAAAACAAAGAACAGATGGAACAAATAGAAAATAGTGACATGAGAGACCTAAACCTAAAAGCATCCCAATAGTCACATTAAACTACATGGTCTAAATGCCCCAGTGAAAAGGCAGAGATTGTTAGAATGGATTTTAAAAAAAGCAAACCCCAACTTTATTCCACCAGAAACACATTTTAAACGTAAATGCATAAATAGGTTAAAAGTAAAAGGAAGAACAATTATATACCATGCCAACTGTAATTGAAAGAAAGGTGGAATATCTTTGTTAATATCAGAAAAAGTAGATTTCAAAGCAATGACTATCACTAGAGATAAAAAATGTAATTTCATAATGATAAAGGAGTCAATTCATCAAGAAAAATAGCAATCTTAAATGTTTACATACCTAATAACAGGGCTTTATAATTCATTAAGAATAAACTGATAAAATTACAAGGAGAAATAAGGAAATCCACAATTATAGTAAGAAATTTCAATACTCCTCCATATAACTGATAGAAAAAATATAAACAGAAGACCTGAATAGTGCTATGAGCCAACTTGACCTAACTGATATTTATATTAAATAATCAAACACTCCACCCAACAATAGCAGAATACACATTCTTCTCAAGAGCTAACAGAACATTTACCAAGATGGACCATATTTGGAGCCATAAAACAAATCTCAATACATTTAAATGGATTCATGTTATATGCAGGGAGTTAGCTATGCTCCCAGCAAAAAATCGGGTTCCTTAGGTAGGGGTCGTTGCAAAGGATAAGAAAATAATAGAAAATGGAAATAATAGAAATAAAAGAATACACAGAGACAAAGGTATAGTTTTATAGATTTATAAAGATAAAAGACAAAGCGGGGGTACTCAGGGGTCTCTCCGATATCCCCGTCAATTGCAAGGCCACGAGTGAAGTTTCACATGAGTATTTATAGGTACAGTGATCAGTTGCCAGGGGTAACAGATTTACATAATACCGGGTAGTTGTCTTAGGTTAAAAATATTTCAAAGGGCTTCTTTAGATCCCTTAACTAACTCTACGTGAACGAATGGTTACAAAATCTTTCAAAACCAAACTTCTAAGTTCTAAGGTAAATTTATCACTTAACAGAAGGGTTAAACAGAGATACAGTGGCTCCATATTTTTTTATCAAGTTATTGTGTATTGAGACAAATAGTCAGGAGTTTAAGCAGGAACTGTCCCTTGGGCTAATTGCTTTTAACCACAGGTGGTCTGTCAGGTGGGCATTCTTTGATCAGCTCTCATCCTGTGACTCCTAGCAGACCTGCTTTGCCTTTCAAAACAAACCAGAACCACAGGTCTGAGATTTGCAGCGTCACCCTGGAAAGCAGCTGCCACTGACCTTTGAGATGCTCTCCTGAGGTGAAGCAGCTTTTGATATGCAAACTAACACGTTCACATATTCCTTCAGGGCAAAGCTCTGCAAAACTCCTGAGACCATTTCTGTCCCTAATATAGTTATATTAATTTATGGAGCGACAGTTATATAGAGTATATTCTCTGACCACAACAGAATAAACATAAATTATCAACAGAAAGATATCTTGAAAAACTTTAAGTATTTGGAAATTAAATAACATTTTCTGTAACCCATGGATCAAAGAAGAAATCAAAAGTGAAAAAAGTAAGTACTTGGAATTGAACAAAAATGAAAACACAACATATTAAAATTTCTGGGACACGACTACAGCAGTGCTTCACAGGAAGTTTATAGCAATAAATGCCTATAATAGGAAAACAAGAAAAGTCTGAAATCAATGACTTTTTTTGTATTTCCATTTACTAACAACAATCAGAAATTGATATTTTTTAATTTTAATTTTTTTCTTTTAAATATTTTTAATACCATTTCAGTAGTATCAAAAAATATTAAATACTGGCCAAGTTCTGCAAATCTTCCAAAAGATGTGCATTATCTGTAAAATGAAAATTATAAAACATTGTTGAGAAAAATTTAAAAGGACCTAAATAAATAGAACAGGGTTCAGAAGACTCAATATTGTCAATGCTAGTTATCTAAAAATTCAATGCAATTCCAATCCCAGTAGGCTTTTTGTAGAACCTAGAATAGCAGAAACAACTTTGAAAAAGAACAAAGTTGAAGGGCTAACGTTACTTGATTTTAAGTGTTATTTTAAAGGTATGGTAATCTAGATAGTGTGGTACTTGCCTCACCATAGACAAATAGGATCGATGGAATTAAATAGAGATTAGAAGGAGATCTACAAGTATATAGATAATGGATTTTTTACAAAGGTGCAAAAGTGACTCAGTGAAGAAAGGATTGTCTTTTCAGCAAATGGTGCTACAACAACTGTACAGCCATAAGGGAAAAAGTAAACTTTGATCCATACCTCACATCATATACAAAAGTTAGCTCAAGATGTATCAAAGATATAATGTAAAAACTAAAACAATAAAATATCTAGAAGAAGACAGGAGGAAGTCTTTGTGACCTTGGATGAGGCAAAGATTTCTTAGATACAACAGCAAAGGCACAATTCATAAAAGAAAAAGCTGATAAACTGGACTTCATCAAAATTTAAGGATGTATTTTGAAAAGACAAGCTAAAGACTGAAAGAAAATGTTGCAAAGTGGCCGGGCATGGTGGCTCACTCCTGTAATCCTAGCACTCTGGGAGGCCGAGGTGGGTGGATCGTTTGAGCTCAGGAGTTCGAGACCAGCCTGAGCAAGAGCGAGACCCTGCCTCTACTAAAAATAGAAAGAAATTAATTAGACAACTAAAAATATACACAAAAAATTAGCCGGGCATGGTGGCGCATGCCTGTAGTCCCAGCTACTCGGGAGGCTGAGGCAGGAGGATTGCTTGAGCCCAGGAGTGTGAGGTTGCTGTGAGCTAGGCTGACGCCACGGCACTCACTCTAGCCCGGGCAAAAGAGTGAGACTCTGTCTCAAAAAAGAAAAAAGAAAATGTTGCGAAGTATGTATCTGAAGTACTTGCATACAGTATTTCTGAAGAACTCTCCAAACATACAAACCAATAGAAAAAAATGGGCAAAAAATTTGAACACTTCGCCAAAGATGATATATATGGATGGCAAATCAACGCTATTCAACATCATGAGTCATTAGGGAAATGCAAATTAAAACAGCAATGAGATATCCACACACTTACCAAAATAGCTAAAGTTTAGAAGACTGACTATGCCAAATGCCAATGAGGATGTGGAGGAACCACAACTCTCATATCCTACTGGTGACAATGTAAAATGATACGACCACTTTGGAAAACACTAAGTTAAACATACGCCTACCACATGACCTAGCCATTTCACTCCTAGGTATTCACTCAAGAGAGAGAAAAAATGTCTATACAAAGACTTGTACACAAATGTTGAAGCATCTTTATTTGTAATAGTCAAAAACTAGAAACAACTCAAATGCTCATCAACAAGTAATTGGATAAACAAATAGTGGTATATCCATGCAACGGAACACTGCTCAGTAATGAAAAGGAGACAGACAAAAAACAGCACATACGATTTGATATCATGTATATAAATCTCTAGAAAACCCAAACTAATCCATAATGACAAAAAGCAGATCAACTGTTGTCTGGGGATAGGGGTGGGGCAGGAAGAGGGAGGGATTACACAGACGCATAAAGAAACTTTTGTATATGATGAAGATGTTCATTATCTTGATTGTGGTGATGGTTTCATGGCTGGATAGATATAGCAAAATGTATCAAATTGTGTACTTTTATTTTATTTTATTTTTGAGAGAGAGTCTCGCTTTGTCGCCCTGGCTAGAGTGAGTGCCGTGGCATATTAGCCTAGCTCACAGCAACCTCAAACTCCTGGGCTCAAGCAATCCTTCTGCCTCAGCCTCCCGAGTAGCTGGGACTACAGGCATGCGCCACCATGCCCGACTAATTTTTTTTCCTATATATATATTTTTTTAGTTGTCCAGATCATTTCTTTCTATTGTTTTTGGTAGAGATGGGGGTCTCACTCTTGCTTAGGCTGGTCTCAAACTCCTGACCTTGAGCGATCCACCCGCCTCGGCCTCCCAGAGTGCTAGGATTACAGGCATGAGCCACCGCGCCCGGCCCAAATTGTGTACTTTTAATATGTGGAATTTACTATGCGTCAATTATACCTTAATAAACCTATTTAAAAGAAACAGTGTAACCAACATCCAAAATCAGTATGGATGTTTATTAGACACAGCCTAAATAAAGTAAAATGCAACATGTAGAGAAGTTGCCAGAAGGTAAAAGATAAGAATTCTTATGATACCTACCTTAGCTGCTTGGTTTACTAACTAGCCCTCACTCTCAGGCTTGGGTATTGAATTCAACTCTGCTCTCTTCTGGCTAGGTGTGGTCTCCAAGATAACTACAGGCTTCTCCCTAAACGATTTTGCAATCACATAGTTAACAAATAACACTATTTCACAACTATTGGAAAATCTGTATCGGATTCCAAATCACTTCCAATTCTAAATCACTGCAGATTTGTGATTTTAAGATACCTTTCAGTTTCGAGATTATAGAGAACATTTTCCTTTGAGCTTGTTTCTGTGAAGCCATTAGCTTTCGTACAAAATAAATTGCTGTTTGCTAGTTTTTCTAGCAATTTTTTAAAATGCTAATGATAGCAAGGAGTACCTTTCAGGGTTTTTTAAAAAAAAAAAAATTCCAATAATCTTTTTCAAATGTTCAAAGTGATACTTGCACATAGATTACTTTTAAAAAAAGAAAACAGTATATAAGAGCTTATAATGAAATGCAAGGGGCCTCTGCCCAGAGGGAAGCCCTTTGAACTGTCAGCTGTTTCTTCCAATGATTAGCTCCATATTTTGAGAAAGCTTGTAAAGCCACAACACTGTAAACTGCAAGTAATATGAATGAAATCAATATGTTTTGTCCCTCAAAACATGATGTTATGTTACATGAGAGGGCTGAAACAAAAGGCAAGAATATGCTTTTGAGGCAGTATAGCAAGAGTTAAATACTTTGGAGCCAGAAAGACCTGGGTTTGAATCCTAGCTTTGCCACTTGCTGTCCAACCCTGAGCTACTACATTAATCTGTCTGACCCTCAGTTTGATTATCTTTAAAATGGCGATATATTTGTCTCATAGGCCTGTCAAGAGGGTGAAGTGAGAGAGTAACACATCTGGTACATCACCAGCTCAGAAATGGCTTTTTCTTTACCTTTTCCCATGCTTTAACTCTTCTCCAAAATTTCAGCCAGGCAGAATTTTTAAAAGAGACAACCACAATGTTTTTAATGAAAGTGGATTAAGGAAATTTGCAAGAAGGTCGCGTCATTCATTGGTTAGTGAGACCAACCATCAATATTTTAAGCCTCCTACAAAAGTGATTCAATTCCCGGTGCGGGAGGGGCGGGGTTGGATAGTGACCGTGTGGCTAGAAACTGCTTTCAAGGCACGCCTGTGGCCAGAGGGTCGCAAATCCAATACAATCTTTTATCACCCAGGAGCAAGCCAGCCTTTCGCTTACCCGTTAGTGCTAGGCTGGTTCACACAAAAACCACCTCAGGATTTGTTTTACAGAACTGCCATCCAAGTCAACTCTTCAAAAGGCTTCTCCCACCCAAAGACCCAGGTCTTACATGCAAAGAATCTTACCCCTGCTGGACGCTTCTGTCTGGTTCTAACGTGCCCTGCTGGGGCTGCTTGGGCGGGAGCTGGACCAACGCTTGGGATCCCACGCATTCTTCTAATTCACGAGGGGGAAAGCTATTTAAACCACAGTTGCCTTCTTTGGGGGATAAAATCTGTGAAAGGAGAGTTTAAGCAAGCGAGCACCTTGACGGTATGCAAATGCGGTAGGCTCCGAGCTCTAGTTTAGAACCGTGCCTGGCTAATGGTTAGCCCTCGATAAATTTTGGATGAATGAATGGGGTTGTGGGACGAGGTGCTGGAGAGGGCTCAGTTAAGCTGCGAAGGAAAGACTTTGGAACTCCCGGGGACGGAATCCGGGAGAGGATAAGGGCGAGCTGCCTCTGCCACAGATTGCAGAAATCTTGGGGCTGAGCCCCAAGGCAGAGGCTTCTGCGGAGCTAGAGCCTTCTTAACTCTACCTGGAGGAGCTCCCGTCACTGTCCCACTTCCACCTGGCATACAGTAGGAAGGAGGGAGTCACTGGATGCCCAGCTCGCTTTGATTAAATTAGTAACGAACGGTCGTTCTGAAATATTCACTCATGGTTAACAGGGAGTTAATCGACAATGTCTAAGACAAGAAGCTTTCGAGGTAACAGCCTGCTGGGTCCCGGAGAACAACCCAGGAGGACTTCCCGGCCAGGGCGCGGCGGCCTCGTGGGGAGGGGCCCATTCCGGGCACACCTGAGTGGGGCGCAGTTGAGCGTCCGGGAGCTGGTTGATCGTCATCTGGCCGGGTACCGGCGGTTCTCCCGGCGGGTTTGGGGAGGGACTGGGGGAACCTAGGGAGGCGGGGCTCGTACCCGCCCCCGGCGGCCGGGCTCAGGCCCACGCCGCCCCTGCGACCTCGCCGGCCCCCAGGCCTCGCAAGGGTCAGCGCGCCGGCGGGTTCCCAGTCGGTGCGGCCCCCGGTCTGCGGAGCCCCGTGGTCGCCGGCGCTGGGGGCGGCTGGAGGAGCCGCCGCGGAGGGAGGGAGCGCGGCCCGGGCGGGCGCGGCGCGCGGTGAGCGCTTCCAGGAACACAGCGGCGAAAATGCCGGAGCTCGAAGGACGGGGTTCTGGGGATCGGGGTTCTGGGGAGCGTTCAGAGGAAAGGCAGGGTGGAAGAGCGTAGGAGGTTACTCGCTGGGTAGCAGAAACGCAGAACAGTATGCGCAAAGGCTCGGGAGCGCCTATGTGGCTGGAGAAGCTGAATGTTTCGGAGCAGAGGCGCGAAGCGTGTAGAGGGGGAGGTTGAGACCAGGTTAGGAGCACACTCGGGAGTTAATCTCGAGGGATTCAGAGTTTTTATTTTTTATTAAAAAAATAAAATAAATATAAATTTATATAAAATGTAATCTATACATACATAATATGTAAGATATACGAAAGAATACATGTAGTTATGATACATGATAATAAAATTACTACCCCTGAATATACCATCTACTCAAGAACTGCAACATACCTAGCACAGATGCTCCTGACTGTGCATTCCTCCTTTATCCCATCTCCTTCCCTCCCTCCCGCCAGAGGTAACCCCTCTCTTTACTTTTTTTTTTTTTCTTTTTTTAAGACAGAGTCTCACTGTGTTGCCCGGGCTAGAGTGCCGTGGCATCAGCCTAGCTCACAGCAACTTCAAACTCCTGGGCTCAAGCGATCCTCCTGCCTCAGCCTCCCAAGTAGCTGGGACTACAGGCATGCGCCACCATGCCCAGCTAAGTTTTTTTTCTATATATTTTTAGTTGTCCAATTAATTTCTTTCTAATTTTAGTAGAGACGGGGTCTCGCTCTTGCTCAGGCTGGTCTCAAACTCCTGAGCTCAAACAATCCGCCCGCCTCGGCCTCCCAGAGAGCTAGGATTACAGGCGTGAGCCACCGCGCCCGGCCTCTCTTTACTTTTTAAAATAGTTTTTTTTTAATTGTTTCTTTGTATCCCTAATGCATTGCTTTGCTTTGCCTATTTGAAACTTTATAAAAATGGCGCTATGGTCTGGATGTTTATGTCCCCCCACAATTCATATGCTGAAATCCTACCCCTCAAGATGAGAAAATTAGGAGGTGGAGCCTTTGGGGAGGTGATGAGGTTTTGAGGGTGCAGCCACATGAATGGGATCTATAAGTGTCCTTATAAGGAGGTCTGGGAGAGCTGGCCTGTCACTTTCACCATGTGAGAACACAGCAGCTGACAATCTGTTAACCAGAAAGCAGGCTCTCACCGGAGGGAATCTGCTGGTTGCCTTGATCTTGGACTTCCCATTCTCCAGAACTGTGAGAAATAAATTTCTGTAGTTTATAAGCCACAGATTATAAGCCTGGGCACATCATTGCCAGGACACTCACTGTGCTACGGACAGGGAGTTCGCCAGGAGCACATCACACACACCTGCTGCCTGGGAACGAGAGAAAAGAGGGCTTTGTTCCCTGCTGATGCCATCAGCTCACTTGTCACACAGATCCTGACAAGGAAACCCAGGCCGGGTAAGATGATCCACTGATCCACCCAATAAGCACTGAACTCTTCAGGGAATCTCAGTTGGTACAACAGTTTTTGGTCCAATCTACATACAGTGAAATGCAAATATCTCAGCTGCTCCTGAGTTTTGTTCTCATTCTGGTTGACTCTGCTTTTGCTGTGCACACGTGAAAATTCAGTCTCCGGCGTGTACAGTCCCACGGGTCTGAACCACCTCTCCAGCCCCCCAGGGAGCAGCTCCTTCATCCTCAGAGTCCCCAGCCTGTCCCCTTTGAGGCCAGCCTCACTCTGTCAGCCCCTGGCAACCACTGATCTGTCCTGTGGTTTGGCCTTTTGCAGAAGGGCGGTTCACTGGAACCCTGCAGGGTGTGGCCCTTTGGGTCTGGCTTCTTTCATTAGCAAACTGCAGCTAAGGTCCCTCCCTGTTCCTGCCTGGTCAGGGCTTGTCCCCTTATCACTGAGCTGTCTTCTGTTTCTGGTCAGACCACCCTTTCTGTATCCACTTCCGTGTGGAAGATCATCTCAGTGGCTTGCAGTTTTTAGCGGTTATGCATGAGGCAGTGAATGTGGTGTGCAGGTTGTATGTGGATGTCAGTTTTGAAATCAGTTGGGTAAATATCTCTGAGCACATTTGGGTCGTGTGGTAGGCATCTGTTGAGCTTTGTAAGCAAGTGCCCGACTGCCTTGCAAAGTGACTGTGCCACTTTATATCGCCACCAGCAGTGGTCAGAGTTCCTGTAGCTCCACATGCCCCCCAACCCCCAGTGTGTGGTGTCACTCAGAAGCCCTTCCTGCCGCCGCCCATGTCCCATCCGAGGGCCTGGCATGTCCTGGGGAGCACATTCACCACACAGCCTTGTGAGGCTGCTGCTGCCTGTGTCCTCGGGAGCCACCTGAGATCTGGTCCCACGTACCCCAGCCAGCCCAGGGCTGGGAGCCCAGTAGGTGCTCAGAACATGGTGCTGGCTCCTCCCTGGGACAGGAGAGCCCATGGGCCCTTGGGAGCTCTGTCACCCACTCCTCTTGGACCCCTGCCTCCCCACAGGGATAGCCTCCTCCCTCTGGATGTCCCCATCTCACCTGAGACCTTCCATCCCCCAGCAGCCTTACCTGACGTCATACTGTCGCCTGAACACGGTGTGGTCCCTGAGGGGCGGGCTCTCGTCCAGATCCATCTGGTGTGTGTGCAACGATGACACCTTGCCCTGCTCCTTCATCCCCTACAGGGCAGGGCCAAGAGGAGGAAACAGCCTCAGAATGTACCAAAGACTCACAGCCACCAACAGCAATCACAGGCAGGCAACACTTCCAGAAGGAAAGGAAGTTTCTGTCTGCAGAAAGCTCTTTGTCTTGCTTGTGTCAGAAGCCAGGGAGGGTCGCCAGAGCCCAGTTCTCCCACGGTGCCCACTTCACCATCTGTGCCCAGCAGTCCCAGCAAGGGGACAGCCGAGGACCACCCACTGCTGCTGGTCAGACCCCAGAGCTCCTCCAGGCTCCAGACCTTCCCTGTCATCTGAGCCACCTGTTAACTAGACAGAGACCAGGCCAGCCCAGGTCAGGCCTCCTGCTCCTCCTCTACTGGAGGGTGAGTTCCCAGGGGAGCCACACCCTGCCCATCCTCCCCCTCTCCCCCTGGGGAGGGGCCTGTCCCCTCACGTGAGGGTGGGCATCCCCTGTCCCTAGCTTCCTGCCCCAGAACCTTCCTCCCAGGACTCATCTTGGGGCCCTCCTGCCTGGGCCTCTGCTCCATGAGGCCAGCTGGCCAGGGCCACAGCGGGAGCTGCCACCGCCTCCCGTGTTGAGCTGGCTCCCTGCCCAGGGCCCCCGAGAGCTGAGTCCTGCAGAGGGAGGGAGGGCTGCCCGGGTCCAGGAGAGCTGGGCCTGGGGACTGTGGCTTCCAGGCCTATCTGTGGTGCCCACTGCCCATCCCTGAAGCTAGAAACACCCAAGAGGAACTGGGACCCCACCACCCTGACAGCCCCACTTGTGGGCCCCCAGTTATGAAGGGAAATAAATACCCTCAGTGGTCCCGATCGGCCTCACTCACACTCGTGTTTCATGTTGTCCTCAGCTGTTTTGCTTATAGAGAGGAGCAGACTGGACCTGGCGTCTTCTCTGTAGCCACCTCTCTAGATGCCCTTGCTCATTCTGACACACAGGTGTTTCGAGAATCTCTCGAGTGTGCTGAGGATGTGGTGATATACTCAGAATGCACTCTAGGAGAAATGAACTTCATGTTGTTTCTTCCCTTTCATCTGTGTGACAGTGACTTTTATTTTGTTGTCGGGTTGTGCAGGTTGAGACCACCAGAGCACCTCTGCAAACAGTGATGATGGCAGATACCTGTGTTGTCGCCTTCCTGATTTTAATGGAAATGGCTTCAGCTCCCTAAGATAGTTGGTATTGGATATTTTTAAAATAGTTGTAAAAGGATATTGACTTTATTTCCATTCAGATATTTCTTAATAATTTTTTGACAATCTGTACATGGCTGCGGACTTGTATTGCCCAGCTTTCTGGAAAGGAGTGATGTCATCCCAGCTTTTCCAATTTAATGTGTTGCTGGGATATTGAGTGCCCACAGACTGGGCGCCTCCTCGGGCTCCTGGAACACATCCTGCTTGGCCATGATGTGTCACTCCCCTAGTACCCCGATGCTTTAGACCTGTGCAGATTATATGTAGGATTTTATGTGCATAGTCACATGTGAAAGGGGTCTAGAAACCCTCTCCAGCCATGTCTTTACGAGGCTTTGGTGTTGAGGCTAAGCGCTTTATGAAATGACTTGGGAACATGCCATTTTCACTGGTCCGTAAGCCCCAGGGGGGAGCTACCATCTTGAGATCATGTGGACCTCAGCCCTGATCAGCAGGACCTGGCCCTCCCATGACGGTGGTCCTTGGGTTGTCCTTTCTTTGTCTTCCACGTGGGCCAATTTTGACTGAAAATCATCCATTTTCTCAGTTTTCAAATGTTAGTGGCAGAAGCACTGGGGAGGGATTTCAGGGCAGGGGCCTAGAAGACATTGCCACCCCCAGGCACGTCCAGCAGCCCAGGATGTGCACCTGAGCAACCCCTGGGTCGGACGTCCCCTCGAGCTGGAGAGCTGGGCTCCTGGCAGGGCCTGGCCTGTGTGTCCTGCCTCATATTTACTGGGTTTTCAGCCTTTGTCTTGTTCTCCAAGAGGCGAGACCACACCTCTTCTCGAACCTGCGGAGGGATCACTTTATACACTCGTTGTGACATCTATGAATAGAAGAATGCTCTGGTGAGACAGGCCTGGGGTGACCCTGGGAACGATGGGAGCCTGAGCATTCTGGAATATTCTAGCCTTGGTTCTGTGGGGTTTTGGGAGACTTTAGGTCTGCCTAGGACCTGGGCCTCCTTTCCCAGGATGAAAGGGTAGATGAGCGCTCAGGGTCGTCAACTCCAGTTTGGACTTACTCCTTCCTTCGGGTTCACCAGGAAGCGTCCCCAGCCCTGACTTGGGGTGGCCCAGGCCCCAGTCTCAGATTCTTTTCCAGCAGGATGGTCCTCACAGGTGGACAGGAAAGCTGGGGACCAGGCCTGGCATCCCTGGGATGAGCACCCTGTGCCGCCCATCACCCTAACTCTGCAGAGTGGTCCTGGGGACCCTCACTCTCCACGTGACCTTCTTGCTGCCCTTACAGTTGTTCCCGTGTAAAGCGTGTCTGGCCATTTATCTGTGTGTCTGGTCTCCCAACGTCTCAGCTGCAAAGTAAGGAATGTTGGAGTCAGCCGAGCTGCCTGGCATCCTGGGCGGCCCTCGGGTGCTGGGTCGTGTGTTCCGCAGTCCTGATGGCGCTGATCTGGAGGGAACCAGAACGGGGCACACCCAGGGCCGAGCCCCTCTGGCTGGTGGAGCACCAGCGGCCTGGCCTCCAGACCCCAGGACACACTGTCCTTGGGCCACAAGCTTTGGTCAGATCCCAGCGTTAGGGGGGTCCTGGCCACCAGCGGGCAGTTCTCAGTGCTGGGTTTGGTAAAACAGCCATAGGGACAGAGTTTGGAGTCAGGCTTAGAGGAAAAACTGGCCCCTCCCAGTGACACAGTGTTGTTCCCACTAACACCCACTAACGCCTGCCCACGGGCCCCCAGCCTCACTGAGCACCCGCCAAGTTTCCAGGCATAAACCCGCCTCCCATGCAGCAGGGACAGCTCCTATCCCCTTCTCTAGAGTGCTGGTGGGGGGTGGGGGCAGCTCCATCTCCCCAGAAGGCAACAGGGCAGAGCTGGGATTTGTGCCAGGCCGGGGGCTGAGTGAAGCCCCTCCACTGAGGGGTCCCCCAAGCTCTCCACCCTCTATTCTGTGACCTCTGTTATGACATATTCCAGGCTGGGCTCTTCCCCACCTGCCCCAGATCCTCTCCCAGCAGAGACCCAGCAATCAGGACCCTTCAGCTGCAAGGTCTCCTGCCTCCATGGCCTCCCCAACATGCCCTGGTGGGGTCCCTGCCCAGCTTCTTCCCCTGGGCCACAGCCCTCTCTGCCCCTGTGGCCCTTCTTGTGGGGCTGCTTGGCTGGACCTCGCCCCCAGCCCTTGCAGACCTACTGGACAACTGCCCACAGGGCAGGCTCCTGGGGCACAGGGCAGACCCTCAGGCACCCCCTCCTCTCATGCAGATATAGAGATCACCCTGCAGAGAGCCCCAGGGCCTGGCCCAACTCTATCTCCATCCCCACCCACTCTCCCCAGTTCCCTGTACTGCACCCCTAAGCTCGGGCCTGATGCCCATCAATACATGAGTGGATTAATAAAATGTGGTATATGTATACCATGGAGTTCTACTCAGCCACAAAAAACAATGGTGATATAGCACCTCTTGTATTATCCTGGATAGAGCTGGAGCCCATTCTACTAAGTGAAGTATCACAAGAATGGAAAAATAAGCACCATATGTACTCACCAGCAAATTGGTATTAATTGATCAACACTTAATGTGCGCATATGGTAGTAACATTCATTGGGTGTCGGGCAGGTGGGAGGAGGGAGGAGCGGATGAGTATATTCACACCTAATGGGTGCAGTGTGCACCATCTGGGGGATGGACATGCTTATATCTCTGACTGGGGTGGGGCAAAGGCAATATATGTACCCTAAACATTGGTGCCCCTGTAATATTCTGAAATTAAAAAAATATATATTTTTCAAAAAAAGAAAAGAATGACACCAGCCAAGCAGGACCAGGTTTGGTTTGGGGACAAAGATGATCTATTTGACCTTAAAGCAGCCTCTGTGCTGGTGGCCACCATGTCCTTGGCTGGAGGGATGGCGGATTCCACACTTCTGAGCATGTCAGGAGAGGAAGGGGCTTTGTTTTCCCAGGCCACAGAGAGGGGACAAGTGAACTCTGAAGACCTGGTCTGGAGAACACCCAGAGGGACCATCTGTCCCGGAACATTCTCAGGACAAAGGGAGGGTTATGTCTCTAGAGGACAGGCCAGAGGGAGGGCCTTGCAGGGTGAGTCACTGTTCTGAGCCCTGACCCAGCAGACGGACGCTTCTCACCCACTGCCATCCCTTGGGTCACCTTCATGGTCCACGACTACCCAAGGCCAGAGGGTTTCCCACTCCACTCTCAGACTGGGGACCCCACGTGTCGGGTGGGTCCCACAGCCACATCAGTGACCACACGTGACGTCTGAGCTGAGGAGATCCCCACCTGTGGAGACCTGTTTTCTGACATAGACTAGGACCCGGGACAACCTTCCAGCCCCATCCTTAGAGACCCCATCCTGGTGGGTGGCTCTTCCAGGGCCAAGCTCTGCTCTACAGGAGTCTAGAATCCCAGGCAGATTGTGTATCCGAGGCAGGGAGGCTGCAGGGTCAGGGTTTGAGTCCAGCTCAGCACAGGGCAGGGTGGGAGCGCAGCCCAGAAATCACATTTGGGTCGTGGGCCAGTTGCCCCCTTTCTGATCTCAGACATTTCACCCGCCCGTGGGTACATGAGCATCCAGCCCACCGAGTCTCTGTGAGGAAGAATGAGACGACTGTATACAGGGTCAGTGCAGAACGGCCGGCCACCTGCTGCCTGCTTGGGGGCATTAACCTGGGCAGCCGCCTAGAGGCTAGCACTGACTTCCCGGTAGCGACTGTCCCCAGGTCAGCATGCAGGGAAGAGGAAGGGCCCACTCACCCGTCTCATGACTATACGATGTTCTAAATATGTCTTGAAAAGTGTCCTCCACGCAGAGC